CCAACCTAAGAGCGATGGCCCCCAACCTAAGAGCGATGACCTCCAACGTATAGTTTTAAGATGCTTTAAGAAGCCTTCTTTCTTTTAGTTTTAAGATGCCTTCGGCAGCTGAGGCTTTCGACGCAAAAATAACAAATGTAAACAGATGAAACGATGTGGGAAACTAATTGGGAAATTGAACGCAAAGGAACCGACATCTTTTGCAAGGTAAAGACAATCGCATGACCCACTTGACCTGGAGCCTGCCTGCAGTAGCACAAGCATCATCATCAAGTCTTATGTTTTGTGCAATGCCCTGGCAGAGGCCTAATCATACACCCACGGGTCGTGTCCACATGTGTCCACTGGCCAATCAAGATCTTCCAAGAGTCCAGCGTCCCGGCAACTGCCAAACCATCTGGTCCAGCCGCTCTCATTGCTACGGCTGCACTCCTGTGATGGTCTATGCATAATCTTGCTCCATCTAGCCGAGCTTTGCTGCTGTGTATCATGTGCCCTTGTTATTCTCAAACTAAATAATTAAACTCAACACTGGTAAGGGGCTGTTTCTGTGTATCTTTTGAAATGGCAGCTCTCGGCCAGCATTTGCTTTGAGGTGAGCCGAACTTGTCTCTTGGAGCCAAACATGCAGGCCGAAATGAGCGATGTATTGTGGCCACACAAAAAAACCTCAATATAGAGATGAGGAGCTGCTGCAACAGCAAAAAAAAAAGGGCATCGTCATCGCTCCAAAAGTGCAACAAACACGTTTCTCACGCTTCGGGGAGCATAGTAAACTTCACCTTACACCAATTTGCAATGGCACAAAGCTGCATGAAAACCCCACCGCGGGTAAGATCAATCACGTCGCGCACATTCAACAAATCAAACATCTGAAGATCAACGGGCTAGAACAAACTACAGCTTAGAGCCCTGCACGACCATTGGGCTCTTTGCTGAGCACCCTCACCTGCACAATCTCCCCGATCTCTACCTCAGGTAGGGCATTGCAAGCTCTCAATGCCCGGATCTGTGAACATGCTCTGTCTGAAGGCCTCGGAGAAAATGTCTTCGACAAAGCCCTGGTGGCCAATACGCCCCGCTCGCATTGTGGACAAGTCGTGCCAACCGTTGCAGTTCGGACGTCCACAAAAAATCTAAACATCAAGACTTCTTTATCCGCCTCCCGAATCTGACTGATGTGCACCATGCCTCGTCCGCAATGTGATGCCCCATTAGCATAATGGACTTGGACTTGGACGTTGCAACTGACCCGACTGGATCGTTCAGTTTGACTTTGTCGCCTGTTGGGCCGACCGGGTCATGCTTTACATAAGGCTCGTGGCCAATATCTTCCCCCAGCCTTGACGAACACCATTTTTAGCAGAAACCTGGAAATCAGATCTGGTCCCAAGAGCCATTGCGAATGCGACTGGTAAAGGTCAGGCCTCGATGAAAATACCAAAGGGCTTGATATTGTAGACCTTTGCATCTAACCAAGATGAGCTCCTGACGGGTAAGCACGGCTTCAGGCCACCTGTCCATATCCAAGAACTTCCCACGCTCGCAATCACCCAACGGCTAACCTCGCGAGTTGTGAGCCACAAGGCAAGCAGGACCATCTCATGGTCCGGTCAAATTGTCCTCTTTTTTTAGTAAATCACCGCGCTCGTATAGAATCCCACTGGATTCCAGTGACTGGAATCTGTCACAGCGGTCCTATCATCGTCTTCTTCCCACAGCTTAGCCGAGAGTGACATTGGTTCCCCATCTGATCCTGCGAATCGGGTTGTGCAAAAACAAGTTGAAGATACTCCACACATACTGAGTCTTGGGGTCCAAAAATGACCAAACACTCAAACTCATTAAACTACGTACATAATAACTTGCCTTGCAAAGACGTGCCAAACGTTGTCTGCTCGTCGCTGGCTCCTGCTTTGAGCACCTGGACCTTAAGCTTCTCCCCAACCTTCAAAGCCTGCCATGGCACGTCAATTGAATTTGAACATTGAAGATGAAGAAACACGCCTGTGTGACAAATGTAAGCTACTTAATTAAGAAGCTACTTTGGAAGCTACTAGGGGCTGGATGCTTGGGTTCTTCAGGGAAGCTCCCTCCGCTTGAGAGCAGATTTGACTGATGATCGTCTAAATCAGAAGGCCGAAGAGCGCCTCTCGAGCGGAAGGGAAGTAGCCGGGTATCTGCGAGATGTGGAGGTAGCCTCCAAGGAAAAATAATTCAGCTTGTATTTATTCATAGTGGACCTGAGTCAATTCGCGTAATTATAGTATAGTGGCATCGTAATTGCACGCGTTCCCCCAATGGACTTCTCTATATTGTATCTTAATTCTGAAAGACTCTGTTCAACATGCCCAGCCTTCGTGCCCCACTCCACCTTGAGCATCGCCTAGTATGACATGAGCACTCGTGTCTGCCACGTAGCTCACAATGCCGTGGTAAAGTGCTCCGACCTTCCATCCACAAGGGGTCAATGCATGCAACGTCCCTGCCGCTAAGTGCCAATCGCCTCAACTTCCTTGTCAGCAGGCCGTTGAGGTCGCAAACGCATTTTCGAGGGTGCCATAGACAAATATAGCCTGCTCCTGACATTAAGATTCCCGATGCAGCAGGAGTCTAAGTAATTACATGTATAGCCAACAAGGGTGGACATCTGAATTAACGAAAGCATGCTTTTCTTGCATGTGGAACTGTTGAATCTGGCTGCTGGCTCACCTGGAATTACTTAGCCAAGGTACGACGCCTGCCGTGAAGGCAGCGGTGCCACGCCGGAGGTGCTTGCGCTTCCTTGGTAGAGGAGAGCAGAAAAACCCAGGACGCCACCTTTGTGCTGAATTTCTGGTTGTGTGAGCTTGAAATAGGTGTTAGGCAATGGCTTGTGGCCTGGTGCTTAGATTCTCTCCGTTGAAAGCAACACATGACCATGATGTCACATGCTGTGCACGCTGAAAGTCTGCCCTGCTTGCTGTGAAATCCATGTCACCTTGCTTCTTGAAAAAGATTGGCCGATGCTTTCCCGACACCCAAATCATCCCAAATCTCATGCTGGTCTGTTTCTACAGTTGCATTTTTGCATATTTTTGCAGTTTCATGGGCCCACAAAACGCTATCAAGTCTGGCAGTTCGGTAGCTTTCGGAAGCACGGACGGCCGTGGCGGGCCTCGTTTTGGATGCAAGAATTCGTTTGTGAGGATGCCTACGAATTCACGTATCAACGTCTAGTAGCGTCCTTGCTCCTAGTAGCCATGCCAGGAGCCTCCAGTAGCGTCTTTGTGCCTATACTAGATGGATGTCGACCTGTTAGAGGCTTTTCGTCTTTTTGATGTGTTTGGTATTGTCTGGTTGTGTTTTGTGCGCTGTGGAGAGGCCTGATATTTTCACGGGAAGGTGGCAGCGACGACTTGAGGCCAAGTTTCCAACAGCGGTGTTCACTATCGATGTCACTATGGTCTGCACCTCGAAAAAACTTTGTGAAAGCATGACGCTTAATGGAAGGCTTGCTGAACACAATTAACCTGTCAATATTATATGCCTTTCAATAGATTATTTGCAGCATATTGCAGCTATATACTAGCAAGTAGTCATTCTCCAACTCCCACCTCCTCCCCGACAGTTAGGAATGTGAAAGGATCTCTCACGTACTCGTCGCTCAGAAGGGAGACATGCACCCAGCCCTCAACTTCTGCACCCACATCGATGAAGGCACCTTATCCAAAGTGTGAATTATGCCACGTAATGCGACAAGCCTCTGCGACTCCTGCAGCCATCAGTGAATCGGGCCTTCATGGGTAATGCTGGACACGTAGCCTCTCCTTAATGTTAATTCCGAATCGTGAAGAATTAGTCGAACGTAACTAAGGCAACACATCAAAATATCTGGATGTCTTCAAGTTGCTGCCAAATGATTTCCATGCGAAGGTCTCAGAACCACTATCAGCCACGTCATTGCCCTCTCTCTCTCTCTCTTCCTTCTCTCTCCTCTCTCTCTCTCTCTCTTCCTTCTCTCTCCTCTCTCCTCTCTCCTCCCCAAATGCCAGCAGTTTGAACTGAAGACTCCATACTATTGCCAGGCATCAGTTCCGAGCCCAGGCACAAGGATTCGACAGGAAAGCGCTCCAGTTCACGCTGACCAGCCAGCACCGGCGGATCGAGTAAGCTTGCTGGAATTGGTGGCCTTCCCTGCTTGCAGGCCGCGTTGTCAGACTGGGTGTGGCGTGAAGTGACCCAAACTGTTGCACTGAAAGGAATGTGAGCATTGACAAAGTTGAATGATCTAAGGATGCAAATTTGTCTAAATTTGATCGAATTCGATGTTTAGTCTTTTCCACCATGACCATCCGTCGTCGACTACTCCACGCCTTCTGGCTCACACTTGCCGTCCACAACGTGTGCTGGCAGCGGTGGCACAACATGCCAACGGCCGGCGCCTCAACTCAAAACCCTGAAAGAAGTTTGGCGTTCGCCGGTGCACGTTGCCTATCGTTGCCTTGTCATAAGCCCAGCCATCACCAGATGCCAACTCGAGAAATCTGCATGCATCCTTGACGACTTCGTGGCGGCAATGGAACCTCGGCTCTTCGAGGGCAGGGTGAAACCGGGTGAATGGATGTGAACGGTGGAAAACGGCCTCAAAAAATATCGACGACTTGCGTTCCATCTTGAGTTGGATGGAGTTGATGGCAGGTTCTTTCGACAGTCACGATAGGTTGAGGTCAGTTGAGGTCTTGAATTTTGTTGACAAGGGCACACTTGACCTGGAAGCAATCGATGCCCTGTGCGTTCTGCGTCTAGCTTCGGAGCTTCTCGCAAATCCAAGGGCCGGTGCTGTGGTGGCTGGAACCGCCACACAGTTTCGCCTGGAATTCAGCATCACAATGGACAAGGCACAACGACGTGACTAAAGTTGACTAAAGTCTGACGGTCGCAATATTATGTTGCAAGTGAAATGGTTCGGTCCTGTGAGCAGTGTTTTTTTGTTTATGGAGCTGTGTTTCGCTCAAGAAGAGTGCCAAGCATGGCTTGACCATGGCATCGGCCTCCGTACGGCACACATAAGGTTCCAAGCTGAGGTGACATTGCCAATGCCCAACCTGAAGCCGCAAGCACAAAAGACTTCATTGGAGTTGAAAACATCATTCCCAACGCCTCGGCCATCTCCAAGCTCTATATACTTCCAAGAATCGAAATCCTGGACCAATTCTCAAGGTTACACGGCAGGTATGCAGGCATGTGGCAAAAGACATATGCTTCTTTTCTGTTTGTCATGGTGCTTTCTCCTGCTCGACTCCTCCGAAGATTTCTCCGGGCTTCAACTCTTCGCCTTGCAGGAGGAAAACTGACATCCACCGCGACAACGGGAGCAAAGTACGTCCAAACAAGTTCACAACCATGCAGACATGCTATGATTACATAACTGGACGTCAAAAATCCAAATTCATGCCCTAAGCTTGCAACAGCCTGTAAGTTGCGCATCCGGGTTGGGACCAGTGCGAACCGGCAGGTGTCGATATTCTGGGGGTTCGTACCTCCTTAGTTGAACCATGGAGCAACGTAAGGCTTGTCTGACCCTAGCAATGTATGCAGCAATCCTGAGGCTACTTGTCGTTGTCAACCAATGCGAAGCCCAGCATCCAAACTGATGGTGCTAGCGCCAAATGCAGCTGAGATTGATGAGCACCAAGCAGAATTACAATGAATATCATATTGGCACACCCTGCCCTGGCATCGTGTAGCAATCGTCTGCAGGTGCCTGCAAGGGGTGTAGAGAAACAGTGACAAGCTCGCACCGCACACACGCACACACATCAATCTTCATTTTCTCTGCCTGCCATCCTTCCAATCATCCATGGCTTCATTGACCATTGGCATTCGTTGGGAATTCGAAGAACTTCAACGCAAAAGAATCTGACGTGGATTTGTTGTTGGTACACTGGGCAAGGTAGCATCATGCTTGCTGCTGCCAAGGCCTTGTTTCTTTTCTGTCGGACATGTCGCTGTGACGTGTTGGGCTCCCTTGCATAGGCTAGCAGCGGCTAGCAACTAACAGTACAACGGAGTGAAGTGTAGAGCTGGCTGACCATCAGGCACAAACATGCACACAAACCCTCTCAAGAAACAACATCACGTACTGTAACCACATATTCAACTGCACACGCACCGCAATTCCTGGCCTGGCGGACGGATACTTGACGCTTCAGGTTGTTTGACGCCAGAGTAGGTGATGGACATTTGAAAATGCCGTTCCTACATGTTCCTATGCTAGAAGTGTCAGGCTCAGCACTGTGAGCGAAAAGTGCAATTACCTTTTTCATCCTTTTTTCTCAAATCAGGGCAGCTGCAATTTTCAGCTAGTTCTCCGTTCTCCTGCTCCGATTCCACAGAAACTTACAAGTCAAATGTGGGGCTTATAGCTGGCACGAAGAACGAAATTGCACAAGGGTTTCATCAATCAACATGCGGACGGAGTAGAAGGCTCGTCAAGGGACATCAAGTTGAAAAGTTTCAGACCATGTTGCTTTTAGCAAGGAGGCGCAAGTTCAGCGCCCGCATTGAAAATTTCACACCCTAAGGCCCTAAGGCCCTAGGCGGTGCTAAGTCCGGCTAGAAGCTCAGCGACAACTTCTCCACCCCCATGGCAAACATCAAAGACGCAATTCTCAAAGACCTGCGCGCAGGTTAGGTGATACAATAAATTCCCCGGCCCTCGCTGTGACGCTTAAACCTCAGCATGAATTCGGTTGGCACATCCATAGCCCCATCGCCTGTCAACCCATTTTAACCCTGCCTCTGAGTCCAACGTGTCCTCTTTCTGCAAGTGCTTCGTGCAAATCCTCACCGCCTCCTGTTCCTGTGAGTCAGTACAAGTGGCCGTGGCCAAATGAGCTTCGCCTTGATGGTTCTCGTCCCTCTTGAAATATGCATCCGCCACTGTGCTGCCCCCAAGAACCATCCAATTCTTTTGAACCTCCCAGTGCGTTGCAATGTCGCCCTAAAAGCATCAACTAGGCTATCCTGGTTGCTTGAAACAAACATTTTCCAAGTCATTGAGTCAGTTGAACACCAAGGACATCATAACAAATCAATCTATGTTGGTATGTTGGTTGCATTTGCGCGCCTCAAACTCCGTATCTGTCCTCATTTTCATCATCTTGAACTTGGAAGACAAAAACTGCGTCTGAGCTTCACTTGATGCCATAGTTTCTGGGGTTTGTCCCAGCTCTCCTCCCGCGAAGCCGATGTCATTCCTCTGGTACATGGTGAGCTTGAAATTCAAAAACTCGCCTGGCCTGCATTGAGTGTAAAGCTGTGCGGCTTGCCGGATGCCGCGCTCGGTGTTCATCTCCAAGTTGATTCTGGATTGAACCATTGCCTCACCCTCCACTGCTTCACGCGCACTACTCACGTTGAATTGCGTTATCTGGTCTTTTCCACTCGGGAAAAGGAGGCCCGACTCAACACTGCTCCAATCCTCGCTGTCACCTGCTCGGAAACGCCAGGTGCACTCCTCTGACGTGAATTCCATGGCTTGAAAAGTGTGAGACCTGTCCACCAGCAGCAGTCCGCGTGTGTAGAATTGACTGCCAGAGTAGCGCGCAAAGAGCTGCCACTCCATAGGAGCCTTTACTAGGCCCATGCTTGAAGGAAAGGTGGTGTTCTTGGAGAAACTCCATGCCAAGAAAGTACCTTGCCTCAAAAGAGTGTACGCATCTCCATGAAGTGTTTGGATGTGTGGATCTCCATCTGAATGGCCAGAAGGTGGTGGGCGGCAGCAGTTGGAACAATCAGGGTTGGACGGGTCAGCTGCACAGCAAATATCTTCACACTTGTCCGTCACCTTACATGCATCTGGAGCGCAACCTTGTGGGCAATCCGGCCCGCCGCAAGAACATTTGGCATCGCCTCAGGAACTGTCGGTTCTGCAATTTATATATGTCGGTGTGGCTGCTGCTTGAAAAAGATTTGCTACACTTGCATGCCCTTGCATTGCTTCCAACCACTTGCGCTTTTTTGTTCTGACCACAGGGCTGTCTAGCAGGTTGAGCAACACTTTGTTCACTCCACTGGTCATCCTTCCAGTACAGTACAGCCCTTGCACATTCATCCCCTCACATTCCATTCATCTTAAAAAGTGGGGATTGAACTGGTTTGAACCATAGACGCCCCTCTCGAATCGGGTAGGTAGGGGTCAATTCGAGAAACAATAAACGGTTGCAAAGATTGCCACGCCCACCTGCCAAAATGATGCTCATCCTCTGGCAGGCACCGGATCCACACTCGAGCTGCAAGCAACTACCTGTAGCAATCTTCACTTCTGTGGACCAGCATGCTGATGGGCCATCGCAAGTCCTCACTCCAACGATGCAAAAACTGCCGTGCTGTCTTATTCACCTAATACTCTTGTAATAGAGAAAACTGTAAGTACACAAGCACTTGCATAACCATGCATAGCTGCATAACCCAAATCCCGCTTGGACAGCAGCTAAGGGTCATCAAAATGTTAGAAGCCTGTGTAAAGTGGAACTTGGCATGTTCACAGATCGTTTCGCTCGTACCGCTGCAAGTCACGCAATGCGCTCCACCTGAAGTGATTGAGCTGGACATGTATTCGCAAGCTCGCAAACCATGGCAATAAATATCCTCAGTTTGTCTGTGAGGGTTCCAACGTTAATGATGCTAAATGCAGTGTTTCATGACATTGTCCAAATAGTTTTTTTGGGGCGAAGTGCGATTGGGATACAGCATCTGAAAGTCTGACAAGCCATTGGCAAGGGTCTCTTTCCACATCCACTGTGAGGCTCTGACATGCAAGGTTGCCAGAGCAGGACAAACTATGGACATGTTTGAACTCGGACTGTGAGCACGCCCGGTAAGCAGAGCAGCAAATGTCGTTTATACAACGACTTGATGCATCCTGGGTCAAGTGGATCTTGGCGCCATTATAGCAGGAATCACTGGCGGTGCAGCATGCGGCGCCGACATTTTCCACATTCCAGAACTCTCTGCAAGAGTGGTAGCCTTTACACACGAGGTAGCTGGAAGGATCCTTGAACTTGAAGAAGTTGGCATTGTGGTGTTGTGCGGCACTGCGGCACGAATCATACCCAGAGCACTCGAGAAGGTTCTTGTTGAAAGATCCAATCGTCTGGGCGAGGGAACCAGCAGTGCATGTGCAAGCCTGGCTCGAAGTGCAAGTCCCAGCTTTCAAGTCTGCAAGTTCAGCATCGTCACAAGCATCCGCAGCAGTCTGACCAGGGTTGATCGAAATTTGAACGACATGAAATCATACGAATGAATTACTGTAGCATGACATGGCCCGTGTTCTGATCCACTGCTTGAATATATATATATATATATATTTATATATATATTTCATATTAGTTTCGGCCAATATTGCCAATATGTATGATTAAACCTCTATGTCGTTATGTCGTATCAAGTTCTTACGCTGGTGCTTGCGCGTTACTTACGCAACCACAGTTTTTGCTTACGCGAGGCCTTGGCTAACAATAGCCTTACGCAAAGCAAACGCCATGACACAATTATGATTCCGAAAGGTTCCCCCAAAGGATTTGCTTACGCAGCAATACATTTTGTACTCCGTGCTTTTGTAAGAACAGTACTTACGCAAACCCTACGCAACAAGTGAGTTCAACATGGGGCTTACGCAACCTTGCGCAACACAATGTTTTCCTTATGCCACAGATTGATATGACATAGATGCTTAATGGAATGTCAAGGGAGGTTTTGGCTATTGCTCATATTGTCATATGTGCTTGGTTGCTTGTCTTTTGTGTTTGTTACCCTGCACCTCCACAATCTATCAACATCTTCGACCGGACCTATCTGCCTCCAAAGGTCCACTTTTGTGCCTCCAACTGATCACCAAAACACCCTGCCCTGCAGACCCTGCCTTCAATTGCAGCATAGCCAGTTTGTCATCACATCCGGGCCTGCATTGACCCCCAGGACAAGCGAACTTGACTGCAACCATATGTGGCAAAAAAAGGCTGCCAGACTCACCCCTCTAAGTTTCCGGGCGCGTGACTAGAACAGTTGCCGCCAATGTGGGTTATGTCCTCAATCAAACGCGAGCCGCGCGGACTGTCTCTACACAAAGGCGTCGGAAAACAATGTGGACTGTTTCCGTGACGTTAGAAGCAGTGCGCACACCAACCGTGACATTGCAAGGTCTCCTGCGCAACCACCAGGATGCGGATCTGGGAAAGCACAATCGGCAGCGTTAAGAGCCGGGACACCATTGTCATCACCATGGGGGGCAAATCCGGTGAAAAACAAATTGTTTGGATTCTAAATACTTAGGACCTAGGACTTAGGTGACCTCTTGCCACACCAAGCCGTTAAATCACTAGCATAAACATGCATGACGATTCTGGCATGTGATGTTTGGGCCAAATACGAAGTACAACATGCAACCAACATCCACAACCACATTCCTCGTTGCAAACACAACCGTGTAGAATCTAAACGGTCTGCGGTGACAGGTTCAAGAGGTTTATGCGAGCCTCTGAACATTCTGCGCTCAACCGGCCGGTTTGGAGTTCTTTGGGGCGGGGCGCTGTGCTTAACGTTTTTGTTGATGCCCGCAACACAACCCATGAAGTTACAAGTTAAGGTGCGCGTGTTCATGTTCAATTCTTTGCGTTTAAGGTGCTGGTCCTGAAACGAGGTGCCGACAAAACTGTGTTGGGATGAGCTAAGGCCCATGCAAAAACCGCAAGAACATTGTTCGCCATTGGGTGTCTGAGTGTGCGTGCGTGCGTGCGTGCGTGCGTGCGTGCGTGCTGCGTGCGTGCGTGCGTGCGTGCGTGCGTGCGTGCGTGCGTGGGTGTGTGTGTGTGTGCGACATAGACATGCAAGAGCAATACTTTCAGAAAGTGGTCTTGCAACATCTTGCAACTGGTCTGGGAGCTCACGACCGCACAGGAAAGCAAGGATGCAGTGCAAACACACACACAGAGCGATCACTGCACGATGGGTGCTGATGTGGAAAAAATCAACGAGGACAACCAAGATGAGCCGCCACTGTACAAGGCGAAACCCGCCTAATGCTGCGAGGCGTTCAGGACTCGGACCTGCTGAACATCAAAGTGGCCGAATTGCAACAAACCGGGCGGCCCCACTGTTCGTGCTGCGCGTCGTTTAGCACAAAGAGGAAGCTGCTGCGTGCCGATGTCAAAACAGTTTTCTTGTCTGGCAGTCGCTTGGACAGGACCACAGCCAAGCTGCCCGAGGATTGCAGCTTAGTCCGGCCTGAAGGTTTTACTTGAAGTTGACGAAATCGGCGCATGGATTGGTCGTTGCCCCATTGGTGTGGTACAGGTCGGCCTTGTGGACGCTGGCCGCACGAAACTGGAAAGTTCATGCCCTGGGTCCATTTTGCTTCACGCTGACCGACCATCAATGGCCGTGCTATCTTGATGGACACGATCATGCTCCATGTGGATGATGTTCTCACTACAGGTGATCCAGCTACATCCACTACAGCAAGGGCGGTGTGTGACGGGAGAGGAAGTTGACATCCCCGTCAATTAATGTGGATGATTGACTTACTGCCCCTCCCAGATTAATGCCCGCACTGTTTTGTTCAATATATAATATGTCCGTCCGCTTTTATTAATATTGTTTCTTTGTTTGCTTCCGCTTATTTCATGATATTTCTATTTTCTATGTCTGCACAGTTGGGATGTAATAATATCCGGCCAACGTTTCCGGCAATAATGTCTGTTCTTTAGATTTCTTTGGGTCTTTAACAAAACGCATCCTTGAATAATGTCGGCGCTTTTACATGTTCAATAATAACTACCCTAGAAAATGGTCTACATTTTTGTCCTGGTGTGGATTTTCAATAAGAGCACCTCCTAGAATAATGTCTATGGTTTTCATTGTCAACTAATTGTTTACATAACGAATTATATAGTTGTTTTGATTTCCCATTAACTATTGACAATGGGCGTTCTTCTAAATTACCTTTGATTCCTACTGATTTCCTATTGAACCCTTAACAACATCTACTCATAAAAATGGTAGCAGAATGGTAGCCCAGCACACGAGAATTCTTGAACCATGCCACCCCCTAGAATAACGTCCGCGATTTTTGACCGCAACAATTTTTTCTTTAATAGAATGAGCCGCTACATGTGTTTTTTGGCCCTTTTGTTCGTCGGCCTTTTGTGAAATCCTTTATTCAAGCCCAGCCTGCCCCCAAATTGGCACAATCAATTGTGCAAAGGGAGTAACCCAGTGAAACCATGTGAAACCCAAATCTTGAAGAATATCACCCCTAGAATCAGAACAATGTCTACGACTCCTGCCGGCTAAAATTTTTGCAATAAAATAACTACCTGTTTCTTCACAACATTTCCGCACATGGCTTTCTTACAGCCTTTCCTTTCCTTTCCTGAAACTTCCCACACCAAAATCAAAACGGTTCCCAAACTTGAATTCCGCCACTGTTGTCCTCAGTGGATTGCCGCGCATCGAAAAGCGGTGAGCTGGGTTTCGAAAGCTCTTGGCCACCAAGATGCCGATGCCCTCCACGCAAGGCCATCCAGGCGCAAGGAAGAAGTGATGGTGCGCAAGTTGCATCAACTG